CGTAAAGGAAAAGTGACAAGATTGCATAGATGCAAAGCATTTGGATACCAGTGAAAACCACGTTGGCACTATTTAAACACAGTTGTTACCGGTTTTGGATATCAGCTGTCATTCCCAAGTTAAGCACTAAAAGATGTACAGAAAAGGAAAGAGAAACGAATTAAAAATCGACTACACACACACACACACACACACACACACACACACGGGAGTTATGGGAAAATTAAACAACAAAAACCATAGAATGCATATAAAATAATTAATAACTACATGATACTTCCATTCACGAGCTTAATTTGTTCCACAATTCTGGAAAAGATGGCTACAGCTGTGTTCTCTGGTTCACAGACATAACCAAAATTTTGCCAAAAGCTTTTGAAAATTGAAAGCTTTTGTGAATTGAGGTCCCACTCTAAGAGGCAAAAGCAAGACCTTCCTTATTAGTAACTTCATTAAATGTAAATGAATTAAATTCTTTAATTAAAAGATAGAGCTTAGCATGATGGATAAGGGAAGTGTAATTAATTTACATGCTATCTATAAGAGACTCATGTTATTGTTTATCTTTAAGAGACTCACAAGTGGTTGACAATCACAGGAAAGCTAGGGTCTTTATCATTATCAAACTAGATTTTAAGTGAAAGATTTATGAGGCAGATGGATATTATGTATTAACTCATCAAAAAGACATAGCAATTATAAACATACACATACCAAACTACAAGGCCCCAAAATATATAAAGAAAACATTGACAGATCAAAGAGAGACACAGTTTCACAGTAATAACAGGAGACTCTGATATACCACATTCAGAAATGTATAAGACATAGATACATGATCATTAAGGAAAGAGAGAACGGGAACATTATAAACCATCCAGACCTAACAGACATATGCGGCACACTTCACCTAACATCAAAATACAGATTATTCTCCAGTTAACATAGAACCTTGTCCAGAATAGACCATGGTAGACCACAAAACAAGTCTTCATGAATGTTTTGAAAAAAAAAAATCTTAGAAAGTATTCTTCCAACCCCACGATGAAATGAAACTAGAAATAAGTAAATGAAGAAAAACTAGAAAGCTCACAAACACACATCAATTGAACAATCAGTAACCCAAAAAGAAAGCACAGGGAATGAGAATATACTTCAAGATGAATGAAAACAGAACACAATGTTTCAAAACTTGTGCAGTGCAGCTATGGCAGTGCTCAGGAGGAAATTTATAGCTGCCAGCACCAACACTAAAAAAGATCTCAAATCCATAACTCAAAGTGTTCCTTTTAAGAAATAGGAAAACAAAAGTAAGCCATGCCCAACATGAGCAGAAAGAAAGAAATAATACAGATTAGAACTGGGGGAAACAGAAGAGAAAAACAAAAGATCATGGGTGTCTTTTAGAATAGATCAATATTAACAAACCATTAGCTACACTGACTAAAAAATAGAGAAGACTCAAACTCTTTCAAAAACTGAAGAGAAAATCAAACCTCCAAGCTTATTCTATTAGACCCGTATTATCCTGATACTGAAGTCAAACATATCAAAGGAAAGGCCAGAAACAAAGCAATTCATCCTTTATGAATGCTCACTGCAAATCCTTAGCTAGATGTAGCAAAACAAACCCATTCACATAGCTCCATACCCAGACCAGGTGGGACCAATCTCAGGAAAGCCAGGATGTCCAACAAGGAAAATATATCCTTTCACAGTTCAAAAAAAGCAAAAGGCAAAAACAAAGAAAAAATCACTTGACAAACTAGGAGTAAACAAAGACTTCACCATGATAATGGAAATATATAGCTCAGCTAACATACTCATCAGGAATTTCCTCCAAAATCAGGAAAAAAGAAACGGTGCCTATTTTTTCCACTCTATTCAAACTAGTACTGGAAATCCTAGCAAGACAAATTAGATCCCCAAAAAAGAGAAGAAGAAGAACAAAAAGAAGGAGGAGGAGGTATACAAATTGGAAATGAAGAAGTAAAACTATTATTTGCAGATTGATTTTATATCCCCCAAAAACCCAGTGTCTGCAAAGGTATTGTCAGTTCTAGGAAATGAGCAAAATTAAAGGTACAAAATTAACAAGAAAATTTTCTCTCTCTCTGCTTTTCTTTCATACTTCCTAAGACTGTTTATAATAAAAACAAACAGGGGGTAACAAATGCTGAGGAGATCGTGGGGAAACGGGAGCCCTGACACACTGCTCCGCTTTGGGAACAGTTCGAAAGCTCTTCAGCAAGTCACGCATACAGTGACCACGTACTAGCCAGTCCACGCCTTTGAACTGGGACTCAACCAGATACCTGTTCACAGACGTCCCCAGCAGGACTCTCGCAACAGCCCAAATGGGAAAAAGCCCATAAACAGCTGATACATGAACAAAAATAACTCCGAGTATTATTCCACCATAGAGAAGAATAAAGTATCAACACAAGTCACTATGAAAATCAATGACACCTAGGAACACACACTATGTGACTCTTTTCCTATTAAATATCTAGAAGGGGAAATGGAAACGTGAGTTTGGAGAGCTGCACACTGGGTACAGAGTTTCCATCTGAGAGGTGACAAATTTTGCAGGTAAGTGAGTGACAGTTTTATAGCATTCTGAATATAATCCATGTCACAGGGTTGAAACTTGAAACGGTTCAAATGGTAAATTTTGATACACTGATATATCCACCAAAAAAAAAAAAAAAGGAATAAAAGAAACAGGTGAAGTCCCAGAAAACATGGGGCTGTGTTGTGGAGGGGGTGGGGGGAGCTTGCATTCCCCAGGAAGGGAAATAATAGCCCAGGACAGCTGAGGCTGGGGACAGGAGGAGGACATGCAAAGGCCCTGAGAACTTTAGTGTGGCCTCCCTAGCAGCCTAGTCCAGGCTGGTTTGGAGAAGCACTGCGGCTGCTGGGTATCATGGGGGGTGGGGCATGGCTGGATGAGGGGTGAGAGGTAGACGGGGCTCAGCAGAGGGGGGTCAGCAGAGGGGGCTCAGCAGAGGGGCAGGAAGGGAAGTCTGTTATTTGGGTCAGGTCCATAGCCAAGAGCAGACTACATTTTTAAGTCTCCTGCGCCACCCTGCTATGCACCTCACGAGAGTGCTCCCCGATTCCTGTGTGGAAGCCCTTAGGTCCCCTTGGCTGTATGTGGAGATAAGGCCTTTAGGGAGGACACAAGTTCAATGAGGTCATAGGTGGAGGTGAGGCCCTAATCCGATACAATCAGTGCCCTTATAAGAAGAGACAGTTTGCCGTTGCCCCCTCCCTTCAAGCTACCAAGCAGGTCAAGAGAGAATGAGCCAGGAAAAGAACCTCACCGGAAGCCAGTCCCAGAAACCCCTCATCTGGGATGCTGAGCCTCTGAGGTGTGAGAAAGTATTATTCCCCAGGCTGTGGTGTAGTCAGGGCAGGCCCAAAGAAGTCTTAGCAACAGAAACTTCTCAATCAACTGTTCTTTCCAAGAAATCAACTTCATCTACCAAGGGACACCCTCCCCAACTCCAATGCCAGCTTTTCTGATTTCCATGACAGCTTTTCTGACCGCTGGGCCCAACATGATGTTTGGGTCCTCTGGGTTCTAACAGCATTTCATCCAGGAGATCCTCGAAGGAGATGACCACCGCCATCCTCAGCTGACCAGAGGCCACTTTAAGCCTCTTCTCTCTCCCTATGCGTTTGCACCTGCTAAGGCCTATGATCATGGGCTAATAAAGCCCAACATTCAGGGCTATGCCCCTCAGCTCCCATCACATTCCCCAGCCCTGCTCCTGCCCGGCGACCACTATACCCTGCATTTCCCAAGATTGGCACACAGCCTCCACGCTGGTTCACCCAACTTTTCCCCTCCCAGCTCCAGTCTGATCTGTTCCTTCCCCAGCCTCCCTTTATGCTCATGGCCCTATAAAAAGACCTGGTAGACTGCACCAGAGGTACCCGCCTCACCTCTGTGCCAGGCCACTCCCTCCTGGGTTTGTCCTGAAATAAACCCATCCTGCTGAGCTCCTACCTTTGTTTCTCCCTGTTTTCTCACAATCCTTAGCTGGGTTCTGCCGGAGAGTCGGTGAAGTCCCTGTCCTGTGCTCAGGGACCTTCACTCTGAAAGTTCTGTGCCTGTCTCTGGCTGCTCTCTATCTCTAGCTTGGACTTTTCTTCAGAACCGCAGGCCTGACTCAGTACCTCCACTGGGGTAGCCGAAAACACACCAAATTTAGTGGGTCCAGAATGGAACCCGTGTCTGCTGGCTGTGCACCTTCCTTGGCGTCTGTTACTTTAGCAGGAGGCATCTCCATCCATCAGCATCATGTCCAGCGGCAGAAAGATGCAACTCAGTGACCCTTTTCTATCCTGGACTAACGAGTCCATCGCTCCGGGTACATTGCCTTTAGGTCGAGCCATTTAGACTCTGGACTTTAAATGTCCCTCAAAGGCACATGCATTGAAGGCTTGTTCTCCAGAGCCAGGGTTTTTGGAAGATGACTGAATCAGGATGGTGCTGACCTTAACCGTGGATGCCAGCGATGCGGAAAGCATTCCCTCTCTATCTGCTTAGTTTCTGGGTTTTCACTACTTCACTCAAGCCTAGTTTCCCCAGTGAGCGTTCCCAGGCCTGTTCCAACCTTCACCTACCGTGCCAGTCCTGCTGGCAGCAGGTTCCCAGGTACCCTCTAGCCAGTGTCAGGAGCTGGGGCGCTGAACTTCACAGAGAGCACGATGCCCAATGAAGACCTGCACCGTGCAGGGATGATTAAGGGACAGAACCTGCACGCGCCCACTTTCCAGCCATCCAGCTTGGGAAATCATGTCTTCTTAACCCCAAGGTTCCCAGCTCGGGAAGTGGGCCCAGATACTTTTTGCTAAGGATGGGCTCTAACACGCAGGGGCCCCTCGCTGCTCTGGAGTTCCAGGCTTGCAAGCCTCGGGGAGACATCCCGGGGGAGGGAGCCCTCAGCTGGAATCTGAGGGCACGGCCTGCACGCAGCGGGGCGGCCCACCTTGCAGGCCCTCCAGGCGGAAGGTGCGGTGCTCCGCGGCCAGGCCCACCGCGCTGTAGGGTCCGTAGCGCAGGATGACCTTTGCTCTCGCAGGCATGGCGCCGCGGGGCCGCCTGAGGCCTAGGAACTGCGCTACGCCCGCTGCTGCTAGGCAACCGCCAGCTTGACCCCTGTGTGGGCGTGGCCGAGAGTGGGGCGGGGCTGGAGCTGAGCCAATGCCGGACCGGGGCGAGGGGGAATGAACCAATGCGGGGAGTTGGGCGGGGCCTGAGCGGGGCTAGCACCTCTCCCGCCCAGGTCAGTGTAAGCCTTATCTCTGGACCTCAGGGGCAGGTAAACGAAGGCGATTGCAATCAGGCGCCACAATTGTGGCTGTTGCCTCAAGACCAACAGTTACAGACCAGTTAGAGGAAGTGTCAGGCGACCTGCTAAGCACTTACGTTTTCTCATTTAATCGTTGTTCCAGCCCTTCCAAATTAAGTTACAGTTTGTACTTGTGTTTACTAAACTGAGCTCAGGCTGAGACACTAAGCAGCCGTCGTCCAGTGGGGACCAGAGACTCTTGCACGTCCTCTGCTTTCCTGATGCTTGTTGGATTGGTTCAGTGTCTGCTGAAATCATTTGCATTCCTCCCCCCTCCCCCAGCTGTTTTTGTGCTCTTACTGTTTCCGTGTGCTTCTGAGACAAAGCCATAGGTTTCCTCTGCCCTTGGAAATGCAAACCTAAGGGACACCGCCTCCTAGAGCCCTGGCCTGCACACCTCCAATCGGTCCCCGCTGCCCCACGCAGAGGAGCAGCAGAAAAGGAGGAGTCCCGAGTGGCTGCGCGGAATAGACCCCACAGAAGCAGGAGGTTACTCTGCAGTCTTTGAAATTTTGGGATTGTGTATTACAGTCAGTATGCAGACCTAACAATTACATCCTGCGAGTGCCACACACGTCTTTAATTTCCAGTCATCGATGGCAGTTCATACTTTTGTCCTCCTTTTGAACAGTGCAAGGATTTAAAACTCCCTTTTCTTAATGCTTCCCCCAACATATGCTATCGTTGTGTGTTTTAATTGTTTCCGTGTGTACAATCTGTTTCTACAGGGACACATATTTTCCTGGTGAGAATTAAGTTATACATGACTGAAGCCAGAAGAAGTCTGAGTTTTTGGAAATCGTGGATTCTCGGAGCTCCTTGCTCTGCACCATCAAACAAGGGCAACTGTGCTCAGCGCTGGTCCCTGCACATGGCGGAGGGTTGTGGACCTGAACGGTGTAGCTGTTCTCAGCCCATTCCTAACTGTCACAGACCCTGTCTTGGAAGGACCTGTCATCTGGCTCTCCCTAAATTTTGTTCACTTTTTAAGAGACAAAATTCTCTATTTACTGTAATATCTTTATCAGAAATTTGATTTTGTGCATTATTTATTTTTCATTACTAGGGATTGAACCCAGAACCTTCACTGGGTTATCTTCCCAATCCTTCATTTTTTTTTTTTTTTTTTCAAATTTTGAGACCTCCAAATGCTTCAGCTGGGCTCAAATTTACAAACCCCTGCCTCAGCCTCCCAGAGGGCTAGGATGACAGCTTTGTACCACATTGCTCAGCTTTACTAACAGTTTTGTAAAGATTGTTGTTATGTTGTATTTTCTCATTTCTTGCTGTCTGTGCTTTCACTGTAAGGTGCCAATGTGTGGGTCTCTTGGTTTATCCTCTTGGTGATTGTTGAAATTTTTGAAACTGAATTAAGATCCTTCAGTGCTTTTTGGATGAGTTTGAGCCATGCTTCCTTTACGTGTTACCTCTGTCCTATCTCCATCCTTCAAGAGCTCTCGTTTAATGTATATTAGACCTCCGCATTATATTCTTTCATTTTTACTTTTCAAAATTAGTTTTGAGAAAGGATCGTGCTGTGCAGCCCAGGTTGCCCTCAAACTCACTGACAGCCTCCAGAATGCTAGGGTTACACGCATGTGCCACCAAGCCCAGATCACTGCATTCTTTCTGTGTGTTCTGTAGTTTTCTTTCTCATTCTCATTTTCCTGTAAGTGTTTCAAATTTATCCTTCTTAGCTGTTCTAGTCAGGGGCTGTGAGGAGAACAGTTAGAATCAGGACACAGAATTTACAATGTTATTTATGATAGTCACCGAGAGTTAACACAAGAAAGTGCAGGAAATCTGTCCATAACACTGAAGACCCAGAATATTCAGCCAAGGGCCTGGATCCCACAGCAATGTCCTGCATGAGTCCAGATAAAAACCCAGAGCCCATGACAGTGCCTCCCATGAGTTCAACTGGAGGTCTAGAGCCTACCACAAGGACTTACACGGTCTGTTTTATGGATCCGCACTGGGACGGCCCAAAGGTCAGCGGTGGAAGCTAGAAATTCTATGCCAGTGGGGTGAAGGAGCTGTGTCAGTCGGCTGAGGGTTCTACACTGGAGTTGAGATGTCACATGCAAAATAAGGACCAGGGCTGTCCTGAAATGTACTGCAGCCATCCTCAGGGACAAGGAGGTTCCAAGTTCCTCCGATGATAAGAACAGTCAAGTACATGCCAGAAAGTCAGTGTGATGAGTTTGTCCTAGAGATTAAACAGCACACATCTTCCCCTCCAGAGCCAGGAAGTGATTGATGCTTGATGTAAGGACCAGAGCTCCCCCAAAGTGAACCACAGCCACTCTCACCAACAAGGTCCCAAGCTCCTCTGATAATGGCTGATTTCACATCAGGGAAGCTAGCCATGAGGAGCTCCTCCAGGAGAATCGATGGCTCAAAACCACAACACTTAGGAGAAGCCACAATGCCTAGCTGGTCTTCTCCATGCCTCTATTAATGCTGGCAACTTTCCTCAGGGAGGCTGTCCACAATCAGCACCACACTGATTTAATTCAGCTGGTGTTTAGTTCATCACCAGGTTTAATCCACAATAATAACCAAGTAGTGTTCCATTATGTATAGATACCACATATTTTATCCATTTGTCTGATGATGGACATGTAGGATCCTTCCAAGATTAATCTATTACGAATTGTGCTGATATGTTGCTATGCATGTATGTAATATGATATCTTTAATTCTTTTAGGAAGATACCTGGAGGCCAACTAGCTGGGTCGGGTGGAATTTCTATTTTTAACTTTATGAGAAACCTCCATACTAACCTTCATAGTAGTTGTACCATGCTACTATATATTTGCCTGCCAAAAATATGGAAGTTTCTTTTTCACTGCATCCTCTCCAGCACTTATTATTACTTGGTTTCTTGATGTTAACCATTTCTTACAGAGTAAGATGGAATCTTGGTGTTATTTCAATTTGTATTTCTCTCATGGCTAGTGAAGCTGAACATTTTTAAATGTATTTATTGGTCATTTGTATTTCTTGTTCTGAGAAATGGCACTTTTTGATTGGATCTTTTATTTTGGGGGGGGTCTGAACTTTGAGTTTTTCAGATGCTTTAGATATTAGCTCTCTCTCTCTCTGAGGCTTAGCTGGTAAAGTTTTTCCCATTCCTTTGTTATCTCTTTACTCTTGGTTATTTCCTTTGCCGTGCAGAGGACTTAATTTGATATGATCCCGTATGTTGACTCCTGATCTTATTTCTTGTGCGGTTGGAGTTATATTCAGAAACTTTTTGCCTATGCCTATGGCTTCAAGAATTTCATCTATTTTATCTTCCAGCAGGTTGATTCTGTTTTAGTGTCTAGATCTTTGATCCATATAGGTTTTAGCTTAGTGCACGGTGAGAGATATTAAGTACAGTTTTAACCCTCTGCAAGTGGACATTCTTCCCAGCTCATGTGTTAGAGAGGCTATCTTTCTCCCGGGCATGTCGCTGACCCCTTGGTCAGAGATCAGGTAGCTGAATGTGTCTGGGGTGATTTTCTCATCCTCTATGCTGTTCCATTGATCCACATGTCTGTTTTTCTGCTGACACCACGCTGGTTCTGTCACTGTGAATTTGTGTATCACTTTATGCCTCCTGCTTTGCTCTTGTGTTAGGGATAGTTTTTGCTAGTTTGGGTCTCTTCTGGTTCCATATGAGCTTCAGGATTGCTTTCTCTAGTTCTGTAAGGAGCACTGTAGGTATTTTGATTGGGATTGCACTAAATCTATATATCAGTTTTGCAGAAAAATGAAAATGAAATGGAAAAATACTGGTTATATTGATTTAAAAAAATTTTTTTATTTTGTTTTTAACTTTTTATCGGTACTGGCGATCAAACTCACGACCACTGCTTGCAAGGCAGGTGCTTATGCTGCTGAGCTAAATCCCCAGCCCCTGATTATATTGATTTTTTATTAGTTCTTCCTATCCAGGAACGGGGTATCTTTTTATTTTCTGGTTTTTTCCTCAATCTCCTTTTTACCCTGCACCCCTGTTTGAAAGGAGAGAAAACAGTTTTAACATTTCCCCATTTATGGCAACGTTGGCCTATAGGTGTAGCTCAGTGGTAGAGCACTTGGTCAGCGCTCAGGAAGTCCGAGGCTTGCTCCCCAATATCCCCCACTGCCCAAGAAGTGATGATGCATGTTATAGATTTTTAGGAGATGTTTCTTTGTCAGGCTAAGTAATTTTTTTTCTAATTTTATTTTTAACATTAAATTATAAATGACTTGTAAATTTGGTTGAATTCATTTTAATGATTAGAATGATCCTATTATATTTTCTATAAATTATGACTTATGTAAATGACACTTAGATATTTTGCAGTTTTCAATGACTGAACTTGGTGGGCATTGGTGTATTGTTATCTTAATATTTTTTGCGTATATTTACTTAGGATTTCTGCATATACATACATGGGTGAGATGGGCTAATGTTTATTTTTGATGTCATGACCTTATCTGGCTTCAGTATTAAAATTAGTTTAGCCTCAGAGGAGAAATAAGGGAATATAGAGAAAGGAGGAGTAGCTTCTTATTTATTTTGGATACAACTGTAATCATGATGAGCCCTTCTTCAAAACTTTGGTAGAACGCATCTATGAAAGTTTCGTTTCTATTTTTTTTTAAGCGGGTAGGTTATTTTCTATCGCTAATATTACTGCTTTGGTTTACTTAAAATTTTTAAGACTATCTAGAGATTTTATTTCTTCTTGCATACATTTTTGTAAGTTATATTTCTCTAAGAATGTTTTACTTGCCTTTATGTTTTTTGGTATAAAAGAATAAAAATAGTCTCTTCTCATCCTTTTTATGCTGACTTTTTTGAAATTGTGTTAGTTTTTGTTCGTAATATCTTTGGTTTCTGATGTTTTCTTAATGGATTTTATCAAGCTTGACTATTTTGGTCATTCTTTTAAAATTTCCTTGATGGTCTCTTCTCTGACACCTGAGTTTCAGAATTATGTACTTTCTCAACTCTAGAATATTTTAAACCTGTTTCTCTTTGACTGATTTCTTTCCTTAATCTCAAACTCTTACCCGTACCCGGGAGCTCCACAGGTTTCTTCTGGGGATCAAACTCACGACCACCTGCTTGCAAGGCAGGCGCTTATGCCACTGAACTAAATCCCCAGCCCCGCCACAGACTTCTTTCTTTGACTGGTTTAACAATTCCTTTCATAAGAATGAACATAAGTATTTCACAGTTCCGCTGATTTGCAGATTATGTCAGCCTCTAGGATGTTAATTCTCCCCTGCTCTAACTGGGAGATTTATGTTTTCTGACAGGGACTGTCTGCCCGCAGTCTTCCCCAGAGGGTGTTGGGTGAGTCAGAGTTTACCTGATTCTGCTGAGGTCCTTTAAGTCTTGCTGACCCATTCCAGTGTGGCTTCTCCCACTGTAGGCTTGCTGTTAATGCTTTACCAGGAAGTTGTGTGAATGCAAACTCCTCATCTGCATACGGCACAAGTCCTGGGACACCTCTGGGAGCACCTGGTTTGTATGGGGCATTTGGCTCACGCGGCTGCTCTGTCCTCTCAGCCAGCAGCGGTAGGGGACCTGTCCACCCTCGGGCTGGTCCAAGACCAGACTTCAGCTCCTGTTTCCTGCTGTTCTTTGCAAAGCCTTCTTCTTTCAATGGGATGTGAGGATTTTTCCCTTTTGTTCTTTTTTTTTTTTTTTAAACTCAGTTACATATTGAAAAGGTTGTCTGTGGGTGGCTCTTTGTTTTGTTTGCTTGTTATTGGCGCTGGGGACAGAACCCAGGGCCTCAGCCAAGGCGGCAAACACTCTGCCTTGGGGTGGTACCCTCTGCCCTGCTGTGTTTGTTGGCGGTGGGGTGGACTTTTTGGACGTCACTCAGCCTGGCTTGTTGCTGCCTGAGATTGAGGATTAGAAATCAAGACCCTGAGGGCTGGGGATTTAGCTCAGTGGCATAAGCGCCTGCCTTGCAAGCAGGCAGTCGTGAGTTCGATCCCCGGTACCGATAAAAAGGAAAAAGACCAAAAAAAAAAAAAAAAAAAAAAAAAAAAACCGAGAAATCAAGACCCTGGGCGGAAAGAACCCTGGGCCACTGACAGCAAGGGACAGGAGCAGGAGGAAAGATTGAGGGGGGTGCAGCTGCACAGGGCTGGAGAGCAGAGGGGCCAGTGGGAGGGGACACTCTGCCCAGGTACAAGGACAGCTGTTCCAGGGATGGCACAGCGTTCGCCTTCAGATTCAAGCTGCTTTCCTTACAAGAAAAATTCCGAGGAACACAAAAGGAGGGGATGGGTTGAATTTATGAAGGGAACCCCGGGCTTCCCTCTGCCTCCTCCTCCATTATTCTGGGAGCCACCTGTGATCCATGTGATAAGTAAGAGTGAATCCACATTACTGTGACTCTGTCCCACCCTGCCCCTCCACCCTCTTGGAATACTGGGTGCCATTATCTCTCCCAATGCATCTTGGTCCCATCTGTGCTGATAAGGAGGATGCTGAGGCCATTAGAGGCTGAGTGATGTCCCCAGAGGTCACAGCGAGACAGTCCCGCAGGAGGTTTATTGTGCCTGGTGGCCCCCTCCACCGCCTGCTCCTCCTTGTGCACTGAATGGGTGTCATGGTTTATGTCTGTGTCTCCCAGCCCTCAAGAGTTTGAATTGTGCATTTGTTATTCGTTCATTGTCTAGTGCTTGGGTTGATTGTGTCAGTGCTCCACCCACATAGGGGTGGAGCCTGGATGTGATGTAATGGCAGGAAGAAGGTGTGTCTTTCTCTTTGCTGATTCGAGCTTGCCGTTTGCAGCTGCCATGAACGGCGGTCCAGCCATGCCCGCCTGTCTTGGAGCCAACTGAGTGTGGACTGAAACCTCCAAAAACTGTAAGAAATAAACCTTTCCTTTCCCAACTTTGGGCTTCAGGTATTTTGTCTCAGCAACGAGTAAAAAGTAACTAAGACAGTGGGGGACACCTACACTGTGGCCAAGCCGATCACAGCGATCACAGCATCACCTGAGGGCTGCTGTCCTTGTCCCCACCCCATGGTGCCATGGAGAGATGCAGCTCCCTCTCACCTGCACTCCCCTGGCTTGCTTTTCTTTTTAGAGATGGGTCTTGCCATGTTGCCCAGGCTGATCTGGGACTCCTGGGCTCAAGCATCCTTCCTGCCTCAGCTTCCTGAGTAGCTGGGACTACAGGCACATGCCACCCTACCCAGCAACCTGGAGTCATCTACACTCTGTCACTGTTGTTGGCTAAGCCCAGACAGAGGCCAAAGAGCTGAGGACGTAGTTCCCAGGATTTACGAGGCTGTCATCCCGTCGGAAGAGAGGAATAGCGGCCGGCGTCATCCGTCTTGGCATTATGTTTTATTGAATACAGAGTTAGAGTCTTTAAATAATTTGTATAGAGTGCTTTCAATATTTGGTTCTTTCATCATTCATATATCTCTTTAAAGCACGAAACTATAAATTAAAAGGGGAAGGCTATAAATACACATGTACATATTGCCATAAATCTAGAACTATCTTATAAAAATAGAACTCAAATCTTAACTTCATATAGTTTGGCAACTTAGCAGTAGTGTCAGTGGCTGTATTTATTAGACATTGCTCTTCTAAAGGACTCTCTTTTCCCACCTTTCTGGGGACGTGGCCTCCTCTCCTGGGGTCCCCATAGAGACACCTGGCCATGGCTCAGTGTCGCCTTTTGTGAGGATGCAGTGCACAAACCATTGTCATCAGAAGGGGAAGACCAGCTTCTGGCCCTTCCTCCAAGCAAGCAGTGCTGCCTCTGCCTCCGAAGCGGGCACCCTTGAGGTGCAGCCTGGACAGAGAGGGGTTTCCAGTTTCCGCGCTCGAGGTCTGCAGGCATGTGCACCAGAGCAGCGCCTGCTGGGGGTGGCGTCTCCGGTCAGACACCAGTCTCCCTGCCAGGGAAAGTCCTTTGCACACACGGTTCCAGTCCGCATGGGTTATCCACATGTGACCATACAGGAAACTGTCTCTGGACTCTTGAGTCACCTGGCCTAGCCCAGTAGGGCCCATAGGCTCCAACGCTGGAGCCACCAGCCAGGAACGCCACAGAGGGAGACTGGGGAGGGCTCAAGCTGCACAGGCTTTGGGTCAGCTTGCAGCAGGGGACCTTAGGGCTGGAGGGTGGGTGTTGGAGGGGAGGAGCAGGGACCTGCAGAATAGCACATGAGAAGACAGTGCCCAGGGTGCCCTTGTGGCCCCACGGCATCCTCCACCCCAACCCAGGCCTGGGGCATGGCTGTTTTCACATGGCCCCAGAAGTTCAGCATGGGTCTGGGCTTAAAGAAGGGACACTTACAGGGTCCCTGGACCAGAGTGGAGTGCTCAGAATGATGCAGGACCTGCAGGATAAGGAAGGGGGTTTTCCAGATCCCCCTAAGGCTTTGCCTGTCCTCTCCTTTCTGTACCCCTTATTTTTGGAGGACTGCTTTCACCCCACCTCTGCCACCCATTTAGACTCTTCATAGAAAGCTCACAGTGGTGATTGAGTCTGGGGAAAGTGAGGGAGGAGGAGGGGAGAGGTTGGCCACTGGGTCCAACACCCTAAACAGGAGGAGTGGCCACTGGGGTCAGTTACACAGCCGGTGACCACTGGCGGTGACACACACTGTGTATTTCAAGACAATTGGAGAGGGGATTTAAACTTTCTCACCACAGAGATGTGCTAAGTGTAGGGAGGTGCTGGTTCTGCTAATTCCCTGATCTTATCAAGGTGTACATGCACAGAAGCATCACGCTGTACCCCATGAGTGGTACTGCTATTACTTGTAAATTAAAATAACTTAGCTAGGTGTGGCCGGGCATGCCTGTAACCCTAGCACTCTGGGAAGTTGAGACAGGAGGATCACAGGTTCCAGCCCCGCCTTGACAATTTAGCAAGACCCTCAAAATAAATAAATAAATAAAAAGGGATTGGGCTATAGCCCAGTGTGAAGACCCTAGGTTCAGTTTATAATACTGAAAAAAGAGGGCAGGAGGAGTAAAGCTTAAAAAGATTGAAATGAGGAAAAAAGTGTCCCCCACATGGAGTTCCTTTCCTCTGTCAGAGTCTGGAAGGCTGAACCATGATAACCGTCTGCTCTGTCCTGCACAGGCAAGGTGGGGTCTCTGCCTCTGTATCCAGGAGAGAGCTCTGTGGGTAAGCTTTGGCCAGCATCCACATGGCCTTTGCTGGATACCACACCAGCCACAGGCAGTGGCCACTGAGACCACTTGCTGAAATCACCATTTCAGTGGTTTTCTTAAAAACCTCCCTCTTGAAAACAAACTAACAAACCCCATAAACAACAAGAGAAAACCCCGAGGCCCCTGCCTGGTTCCACGACTGGGGCAGGTCACATTTCAGGGCCTGTGTCCTGGGAGATGGGCAGAGGACACGGAACACATGCAGGGGCAGGACCCCGCCTGCTCCAGGCTATTGGTTGACTGTCGCACCTGTTCCTGATGTCATCCAAAAAGGAGAGCACCCCAAGGACTCCAGCACTGATGTGCGCGGTGCTTTCCTGTCCTCGAAGCTGGGTGAGATGCTGCACCTCTGAGGGAGAAACCTGCCTGAGGTTCAGGGCACCAGCTTGGTGCAAATGAGCTTGGGCCATGTGTGCGGACAGCAGACGTCTGCAGGACTGCATGGCTCAGTGGAGACCCTGACAGCTGCCATCAGATGCTCTGGATCTGGAAACAAAGCCTCTTCCCCTAACTCCTCTCAGCAAGAAAAAGGGGTAATGACCCCAAGCTAGCCTCTGCCTCCACGGGTGCATGGCTCAGAATAGAGTGACTCATTGTTTGGCTGGGTAAAGACATCTCCAGACACGCTAGGTCCCTCAGGGGATGGAACAGGAACATTAAGCTCTGGAGGGGCAAGAAGGGAGGGCTCTGCTGGGAACCTCACCACCTGGAAGCCAGGGTGTCTGCATTCCCAGGGCGCAGGCCACCCCAATCCTCTCCAGGCTCCCTTTTCCTCCTGACCCTCCGGCATGGGCAGTAACTACATAGCCTGTGGTTTGGGCCCGGGAACCAGGGCCCTGCAGAAAGCGGGGGTGGCAACACGGATGAGGACAAGGGTGAGGCAGGGTGTAGCAGCTGCAGAGGGCTGGCCTCGGAGCTGCAGTCAAGACTGGTAGCCCTGGCTGGGCCCAGTGGCTTTTCCCTCTGTCAACAGTGGCTTGCAGTCAGTGGGCTGCGGCAGGCTGCACAGGGCTCTCAGGTCGGCGAGGCTCGCCCCCACGGCTTCCGCGAACCCCAGAGATGAGGTCTCCTTGCAGCTGTGGAAGCTGGAGATGCAGAAGAGGATGCTCTCGGGCTGGGGGTTGTAGCAGGCACCGTAGCCGTTGGGGACCACAGGACCATAGCAGCAGAACATTTCCATGGTCGTGGGCACCTGGGAGAGACCACGAGTCAGCAGCAGCAGCACGCTGCCACCTCAGAACCCACGAAAATGGGAGGGGGACACCCCAGCAGCCCGGGCCTCCACTGGGATGGGCTTCTCTGATTACTTTCCACTCCGGAGCTTCAGCTGAATTAACCAAATCAACCGAGTGCTTCGGCATGGGTGGACACAGCATCATAAAAACAAACCCATCTCACTGAGTGATCGTGGAGGGAGAGGGACCCAGGTCCACTCCCCAGGGTGCAATCTGCTGTGCTGTGGATTGGAAGCTTCCAAGTGAGCCAGGGCTGGGGCTGAGTTTCTCCTTCACCTGGGGGCCGTTTGAGGCCCCGTGGCAATGAGGGTAATTTACTAAAGGGCACCCCAGTGGCCCACTCGGTAGATCGATCCCCACAGGCTGCGGTTTATGAACTGGAGGAAATCTGGCCTGTCTTCTCTGCTGATTTCCCCCAGATCCTTAATTACTGTCAGAATTGCCTGGCTGTTTGGGGTTTTCTCCCCACAGCCAGGGCCACGCACAATTACCTGGCACCAGCCGTTTCAAAGGTTGCCGTCAACTGGAGTCTCAGTTCTGCACCTAAGATGCTTTGAATTCAGAGCACTGGGGTGTTACAAGCTGGGTCACAAACCAAGCAAGTGTCTCTAAGGCATCCAAGCCACAAGCACTACTTTCCAGCTGGAAAATTACCACCAAAAGGTCTACAGCCCAAACTAATTTTATTAGCTGCTCATGGTGGGAAATAGGAAAGGTGCTTAGTCTGGTTCTGGACAGGTTTCTAGGGCTGAGCTCTCCACCATTGGAAGTGACACTGGCTGTTTGAATGGGCAGAACAAACCATTAGACTTACTAATAGAGTCACTGCATTGTCAGATAAATTTGCCTTGTGATAGCCGCAGGCTAGAAAGCCATTCCAGGGCACTTCTGGCCCATGGATGGTTTCCTGAAGAATTATGTCGCTGTGTGCTGACCCGGTGCATGGGTAGCTGCGAGCTCAACACTGTGATGATAAAAAGCAAGGTCACCGAGTGGGTGTCTTCCTCCCACACAGCTTCATGGGCTCTTTCACTATCCAGTGAGTGGTTCACAGATGAGGCAGCGCCTTAGGAACCAGCACAGGGCGGGAGACACTTCTTCCCTGCCCGCAGCTCCCCACCAGTGGTGGCTTTCATCCTGGCTTGGGCGCGGTGACCTGCCTTGGGCACGGTGGGCTGTCTGCGGCACTATGTGGATGGGCAGGCAGCCGGTCTCCCACTACGGGATGATGCCTGTCATCTGAGGACGAGTGGTGTCCCGGAGCTAGGGCTCCCAAACCTGGGGTCCCCTGGGTGAAGCAGCACCCTCAGGTGAGGTGGAAAGCGGTGCTGCCTGGTGGTTAGAGCACAGCACAGCTGTGTCTGCCCTGCTGCTGTGGCTAAGGTGGGCCTGAGACGACTCCCATTTAGAGGAGGAGAACTGGGGCTCTGTGCTTTGGATCATTTTGCCCAGTGGCACAGCTGGTGAGAGGCAGGGCCAGGCAGGGGAGCGCAGACACCCAGATGGAGAGGGTGGTGGTGGGTATGGGTGCCCTCAGGGCGGAGGGCTCACTTCTGAGGTTCCTGGCGCCTTAGGATGACTGGGGTTGACAATTAACTGTTTCCAAAGAGCTGAAGGAGAGGGTTTCCAATGCCCTTTGACAAAGAAATGACACGGGTGCCAGTGGCCCTAATCTGACCATGGTTCGCACAGCATGCAAACTGCAGTATCACACTGTAACCCCAGAAATATTTATAATTACTCTGTGTCCATTACAAACAAAACGGATGTTTTTAAACAGAAGAGGCAGAAGCAGAGTCCGGGCTTGGTGATACCAGCTGGGGCCTCCCAGGCCCCCAGCTCTTTAGAGAGCCCCCGGGTCCCACGAGGCCTTTTTTGGTGACAGTGACAGTGATGACGGCACAAGTCGGGGTCCTACCTGGCTGGTGGAGAGGACAAACCGGTTGCTGGTCAGGTACGTCTCGTCAGTGAACATCTCCGGCAGCTCTGTGCACAGGTCTCGGGCCAGCTCCCGCAGTGCCAGCAGGTGGTTGTCGATGGCCATCCCCGTTATGGCCTGGGGGTTGGGGACAGCGAGAAGGGGTGCTTGGGACTCTGCAGTGTTTCACCCTCCAGCAGGAGGTCACTGAGGGAAGGCTGGAAGCATAGGGTCTGTCCCTGAATCACGGGCTGGGATCAGTTCACTTAAACTAGATCCATGGTCTCAGAACCCATTTTGAGCCAGGAAGCGGGTATCCTAGCAGAGGCTCTGCTGGCCTTCAAGGGGAAAGAGCTGGTTGACTGAATGCTAAGAGGTTATTATATTTTTAATCACAAAGATAATTAAGCTCCTATCAAATGCAGGGTAGCAGTGAAGGACCCCACCCGCAGGGCAGGAGAGATTCTGGGGTGCTGGGGGGCAAAGGGGCCAGGGGCCTTTTCCCCATCTCTCCCATGCACTGTGCTCTTGTTTGTTGATTCTGTGATGATTTGGGAGTTTGGTGGGGGGATTATGGAGATTGGCGGGGGGTGGGGTGGTCCCTAGCCTCCAACAATACACTTCGGGTTAGCATCAAGGTGACAGGGTCTGGGCTTTCCAGTTCTGTCGCAGGGCAGCTGTTGGGGCCCCACCCTGGAGCTCAGCTCCCTCCCCGGAACTGTGCTTGGGTTTCCGCAGCACGTCCTGGGGCCTGACAGCTGCTCGGTGCAGCTGAGAAGCTGCAGAATGAGCACGCAGAGACCTGTCTCTCCGCAGGCACCTGATTGCATCCTGAAGACAAGGTGCACAGCCACGGCTCACTCTATTCTTCTGATTTATTTGGCAGTGCTCAAGGTGGGCCCTGGGGCCTCGTGCACGGTAGGACAGTGCTCAGCGCCAAGCGCCTATCCCAGTCCCATGACTCGCTTGAGCTGTGCCTGGCTGGGACAGAGAGGAAGGACAGGGGTGTCTCATAGCCACCAACCCTGTCCCCACCACCTCTGAGCCAGGAGGACAAAGGCAGGCTGAGCTATCAGGCGGCTTTGCTGATTCTTTCCTGTTGCCCTTACCTCCTGGCCACCGGACCCCAGATTCACCTAACAACCACCTTCATCTCCTCCCCCCTGCCCGTCCCTCACCTCCAGTTGTTCTGGGCAAGTCAGAGTAGCAGATTACTCATCAGACCTGGGTGGCAAGGTAGGAGGAGAGTTTTCTTTAACATTTCATACAGTTCAATTTGTCATGGAAGTGACATACACACGTAATTTAAAACTCCAAGTCAGCCAAGGGCTCAGGCCACCTCCCCACAGTGACTCCATCTACAGAGGAAATGCTGGCCATTGCTTTTGATTTTCAGTGTCATTGCTCCATGACTGCCCTTTCCTGATTTACTTTAATCTCCTTGTGATAGAAACAAAGCTTAGACATTTTTAAAATGTCTCTACTCTGCCAACACACATCCTTTTGCTTATTTGGTCACCGTACATATACAGAGTGCACGATACAGTTACGTGAGTACTCACAACTGGATCATGGAGGACACTGGATTTCCTTTCTTATTAGAATTTTCCCCCTCGAACTGATGCTCTTTAAATCATTAAACGTGGTGATTCCCACCCGCCATTTAACTTCCTATGCATCTGATTATTAATGGACCCCTACATTTTCAGCCAGAGTTCTCTTCCTCCCCCGTTCGTGCTCCTCTATGAACTGGGTGCCGTCTAAATCTGCAGGACAGCCGTAGATTTGGGATAGCCTCTTCCTGTCTCCCTGGGGAGTCCTACCACGTTCTTGCTTTCAGTCTTCTGATTTTTTGGAGTCTACAACTTTGTCTTTTATGCTTTGGAGATTTACATCCTCCTGGGTGTTAAGAAAGACTGCATAAAACATAAAATTTGTAAGACTATCTGTCTTCAATGTCTGTGTTCTATCCTCAAACTCGACGGTAATTTAGCTGGGTACAGAATGCACGGAAGGCCATTTCCCCATAGGATTAGAGACACCGCTCCATCATCAGCCTCCCGAATACACTGTTAGAAGTCAAGCATCTTTATTTTGGTTCTTTGTATTTGATTTTTTTTCTATGAGAGATTTTAGGAGCCTCTCTTTGTCTTTGGTGTTGTGGTTTCCATGAGTATTTTCTATGTATTATGTAACATACTTGGTGAACTCTCTCAATACAGAAACTGCTGTATGGAGTTTTGGGGACTATTCTTGAATTATTTTACTGATCATATCTCCATGCTCCAAAATTTTTTCTGAACGGCTATTATCTGTGATATTACCCACCTGGACTAAGCATCCTTTCTCTCCTAGACTTCATTTCTGTTTTGTCAGCATTTAGGGGAGATCATCTTGTCCCCCAGTTCTGCTATTGAATTTTTCCCATTATATTTTTCTCCAGGGATATTTCTGTTTCCTGAAAACCTTTTCAAAGTTTCCTTTTCTTATTCCTGAAACTTACTGGCCGATGTGTAGTATTAAGAAGTGGTACAACCAAGAGGCGACCAGGTCATTAGGGTCCCTTACCAAACAGGCTCTTGTCACCCTCCCATCTGCTGCCACCCGAGAGCCCAATGTCCCTCTGCAGGACACAGCAATAAAGAGCCACCTGGAAGCCAAGAGTTGCAACCTCACCTGCCAATACTTAGACTTTGGACTTCCCGCCTCCAGACATGTGAGAAATAAGCCTGATCTTTATGAACTACCTAGTCTTGGATTTTCTGTTACAGCTGCCCAAACAGAAGAGACCTCAACCAATGTTCTCCCCAATCCCATACTCCCCCACTTTCATGGGGTGTCCCGGTGTCTGTGTATTTCCGAGGCTCCCCAGCCTCTCTCACAGTTTACTAGTTCAGCTGTCATCTATTCCAGCTCAAACAATTGCTGTCACCTGCCCCAATCTCTCTGCCCGATACAGCAGTTTCTGTATTGAGAGAGTTCACCAGGTATGTTACATAATGCATAGAACCTTGTGGGTTCATAGCGTTAAACATCCCTTGACTGTGGTTTGGGGAAGTTTTAGAGGGAGTGACAGGGAGCCCTCGTTCAACCTGCTGTGTGGCAGCCGAAGTCGGAATCTTCCCTTCACACCCTGCAGCACAGCGTGGGTTCCGAGGGGATCAGTGCTTCTGGGCAAACTGCGCCCCCCTCCAATCAGCCCTTCTGCCCCACACTGGAGCGAGGTCAGGAACAGGAAGTCCAGCCCTCCAGCCTCTGGTCTTGGCGAGCTGCATGTGCTGATCTACTCTTCAGTGTGCCTTAGGCCTTCAAGTCGCTGCCTGTGCACCCCTTCCCTCTCTGGGTCCTTCAAGGCTGAGTCAGAGTGCTGCTTCCTACGCAGAGTCTTCCTGGCTTTCTTTCACATGCAGAGAGAAAAGCCTGCTCCTTCACGTTCACTGTTACTCCCTGAAGGATCTTTCCACCTGGATTTGAAGTCAACTTTGCAGGACTTCTCCTCCAACCACAAGTCAGACTCTTTAAGGAGGGGATTCATGAGCCCTGGGGTTTGTTTTCTAGTACCCGGAACCTCATCTGGCCTAAAGCAGCAAAACCACAATAATAACAACAGCAACAGCAACCACAACTACTCCACTGCATCTCCCTAGATTACAGGGGAGGAGATCTGCTATAGCCTGGGTCTCAGTGTCCCCCAGAACTTCACGTCTTAAATAAAGGCTTAGCCTCCAGCTTTGTGCCAGTTAGGAAGGTGCTAGCGGGTGCCCTCCCGGTCACTGGGGGCATCTCCTTGAAGAGACAGTGAGATCTTACCCCCTCCTCTTCCCCTCCTTCTTTCCTTCCCACCATGAGTTGATGGTTTTGCCCCACCGTGGGCTCCTGCCATGATGTTCTGCCTTGCCACAGCCCCAAAGCAATGGCGCCAACTGACCATGACTGAAGTGATGGAAGCTGTGAGCCAGAATGAACCTTTTCTCTGTCTGTCTCAGGTAATGTGTTGCAGTCATGTAAAGCTGTCCTTAGCTTTACTCAATGAGAACAAGCACGGAACTATTGAGATGAAGTACAGAGCCAACCACTGCATTAGAGCAAAGTCTCCACTGGTTTGAAACCCGGAAGTACACTGTACTTGCTCTTAGGCACAGAGGGTGGAATCTGGCCAGTCATTTTCATTGGTTATCTGACTCTTTGCAGACCACATTAGAATGATTTGAAATGGATACATTGATCACCCGCCCAATGGATGCTCAAACTGTTTTCTGTATGCAAATGACATGGTACTACCAAAAAATAAACTGGTGTCCTTAAACAAGGAAGACATTCCTCCTCCAATTTTGACATCAGTATTAATTTTCAGCAAAGACTTTCCATTCAGAGGTAGCATAAATAAATACACAGGAAACAAGAGGCAAAATCAGCCTGAGGTGGCAATGAACGTCACCTCATTCATTGTGATTATGCCAGAGCACAGGCTGCCCTGATTTTCCAGGCTGGAGCCCTACACCCTCACATTCGGGGGCTCTTATGTAAACTGCAAAGTACTGTACATTTTGTGTGCTATTACTCCAAAGGATTTCAAAGGCCACTCATTTGGCCCTTGTAAGATCTGGTGGACAAGCAGGAAGGGTGTGTTGCCTGCATTCTAAAAGCAAAAAATGGAGGCTCTGAGAGGGGACAGGCTGTCATGTCACCAGGCCATTGGGGGCTGAGCTGTGTCAAGGGCCCCATGTGGTTCCCTGTCAGCTCTCACACAGTGTGGATGCTACAGTCACCGGGCGCATAGTGTCACTCACCATGACAGTGTATTCCGTCTGGGCGCAGATGGCGGCCCTCAGGAGCTGTGCCTTCTCCGAAGCCTGTGATGGAGAAGAGACTCAGTACCCAGGGCTTTCAATCTGAACTCCACGGCCAACAGAGCCAGACATGCAAGCGTCACTGGCCTCTGGGTGGCTCCAGGATGGAGTGGGACTTACAGGCACAGCAGCCTTGTGGTCAGTCATGGCTCGAACGAAAGTCAGTGCCTCTGGAGTGGCCGACCGGATGTTGTCCACCCGCCCCTCCTGGAACCGCCGGATGGAGGCGCTCTCATAGGTGGGCACCAGCCTCCCGTGCTGCCTGCAGGAGATGGAGATGCACGGCAAGCGGTGATTTATTCTCAGGGAATCATAAACACACAGAGAAAAATGGCCTTGGCAGGCTTCACAGTTACAGTCCTGACTCAGCGTGACTCTCTATTTCATTTTAATGTTGATAGGATTCCAGAGAATCCCCAAGATCAATGCTGGAAACCTCTAATAGCAAAAGCCACATACGCACGGAGGAGGGGGGACCCTGATGGAAAATAAGGAGGGGCCTGGGGATTTCTCAAACATCCTCAATCTGTTGGGGAAGCTGGAATTTTCTGTGAGACCCCCTGAGTGTCTGAGGAAGAGTGCAGAATTGGAGCAGTTGTGCAATGAACCGCTCACACCCTGGAGGGATTCGGTTTTATGTGAAATAACTCAGTGTGACCTCCAGACCCAGGCAGAGATGAGGAGGGAGTGGTCTAGGTGGCACTCCGCCCAGGTCACGCTTCCAGGGTCAGCCAGCCCCACGGGCACCAACTCTGCATGTCTCCCTCTCCAAGGAGGCTGAACCAGGGCAGTCCTTGGGGCCGGATGCAATGTGTGGCCTGCATACTACAGGGTGTTCCCACCTCTTGCCACCCAAGCACAGAGATGTGCCACCAGCCAGGGACACCTCTGCTTACACAGGAGAACTGAGGGAGCGGCCTTGGGCCTGTGCACCTCATTTCCACACCCATTTCCGGGCAGTCAAGTCAGCCCAGTCCTTGATGCTGGCGGTGGGGAGGAAAAAGGACAGTGGCTGCCCGGAGGCACCTTGACTTTTGTGTAGAACGGAGGACGGGGAGGAAGGAAGCCCCAGGTGGAGAAGGACGAGGAGGTGGTGGTGGGCGGGGGCTCTCTACAGGCACTGGAGGGTGGCCGTGGTGAGTGTTGCAGTCTGACTGATTGATCCCAAAAGCCGCTGTCCCTGCCTATGTGTCCTTCCCTTTCCTTCCCAGGACCAGTTTTGGTTGCCTGCTGGCTCTGGATGGAGGCGCCCAGAAAAGCCGCTGCTGCCTCCAGCACGCGCCAGAGCCTGGAGGTACCCCATGGGCCTCACCTATAGAAGGCCAGCTGCAGGGCCACCTGGATGAAGGCGTCGGGGCTGCACTTCTGCTTCTTAATGAACGTCTTCCCGTAGCTGGCAAATCTGTACACGGTGAAGTCCAGGTTCTTCACTATGCTGCAGGGCAGACAGAGGCACTGGGGTCACGTGAGCCCCGAGTCCACCGGGATGCTCCGGCCTGGCCTGCTCCTCCACAGGGCGAGGAGGGCCGACTCCCAGCACCTGGGCTGTCACCGTCATGCTGACCGTGCAAGCGACAGGAGCCTCCAGGGCTGGGCTGCCCTGGGCAGAAGGTGCCCAGCCAGAGAAGTGGCCTGGCCGCAGTAGTCAGGCAGGAAGTAGGCAGAGCAGACTGGATACTTCTGCATAGGCAGGGCCAGCGCTGCCCACAAACTCCCCGCAAGAGGTAGGCCTGGAAGAGGCTGCTCGGCCCGTGTGACCCAAGGAGAAGGCGGATCTGTCCACATCTCTGTGGACGCCAGGAGGGGATGTGGCTGCTCCTGAAGACTCAGCACACCCACCAGGGCTTCACCAGTGACCCAAACCTACGTTATCCAGAAAGTGCCACAGCCTCTCATGACACATCCAGGATTTTGTCACCACCAGGATAACAGGACAAGTCCCTGTATCCACACAGAGACTGCCAAGCCCCACTACCCCCGTACCATCTTGTCTTCTTCGTGGGGAGTCTGGGGTCCTGCTGATGCCTGGGGCAGGGTCCAGCCAGGCCTGTGCTCCTTCCCACCCCACCAACCTCCAACTCGCCTCCCACTGGGACCTCTGGGGACAGAGCTTGCCCTGCAGATTCACCCAAGGACAGACTCCTGGATGGATTACTGTCACCATCACTGAGCTGGCCTGAAACCCCCTGTATTGGTCCTGCCTGAACACATCCCAACCCCACAGCTCTCCCTGTTCTCCACCTGGGTCCTCACTACAGAAGCCAGCCATCCCCCGGGGTGCCTTAACCACCCCCTTGCCCCAGGGCCCCGTGGGCTGAGCTGTCAGCAGGGCTCTCCCCCAAGGGCCACACTGTGGCCAGCTCTGCCAAACCCTCTCCTGCTGTCCAGCGGTTTCCCTCCGCATCTCGCGGGCTCAGGTCTGCCCACCTGGCTCTGCTCTGCTGTTTCACGCACTGTTGATTTGGGGGCAGGGGACAGACCCCCAGCATCTTCATGCCTCTTTTTCTGGGTCCCATACACGTTGGGGGTCTGGCCTCATTAGGTTAGGGCCTAATCGCCTGGCCCCTCAGGGACAGAGGCCCCTTGCCAAGCACCCTGTGATCTCAGCACCCTAAAACAGCGTGGATTCAAACGACCTATTCAAACCAGCTGCTTGGGGAGCAGGGAGGGTCCTGCCTCTGAGCTGCTCCAGGAAGCGAAGCCTGTTAGGGGGAGGTGGCCGCACGTTTGCATGTATGAAAACGACATACACTTCAGCAAGGTCACTTCCCAGAGCTCCGGCTCCCCTTAGTCTGACTCCTCCTTTTCTGTGGGGTGCTGGCGGGGTGCAGCCTGAGGAGGCAGGGCTTCTGGGTCTTTGGGTTATCTAGAAGCATTGCCAGGCCCCCCCACCCCGGGTCACCCCCTTACCGCTGGAGCTTTTCTGCCGAAGAGGCCAGGTGGCCTTGGATTTCCGGGGAGCATTTCCACCTGAGCCTCCTGGGCGCAGGCAGCTCGCTGACGGAGTCCTCTCGGACCAGCTTCTTGCTACTCTTTGTCCTGGGACACAGAGGGGAGACTGAGGCCCTGCCCCCGGGGGCCTATCCCCACATTCATCCTAGCTGTTGGTGTGTGCAGCCTTGGAGTCTCAAGGGGCTGATCAGCACCCCAGACCTCTGTGCGGGTCCTGAATAAGCAGAGGCTCGAAGAGGCCGCCAAAGTCAGCAAGCGGCCAGCGGGGTGCTATCCAGCCTGGACCTCCAAAGAGCAGGCTGCTCCCCTCTCCCCTTCCTTTCCTCTTCTTGTCTATCTCTCTTTCTTTCCATGCTTTCTTTTCCTCTTTCTTTTCCTTCCTTTCCTTTCCTTTCTTTCTCTCTTCCTTTTTTGTTATTGATACTGAGGGTTGAACACAAAGCCTTCACACTCAGCAACATCCCATACACTTCTTAATGTTTTGAGACACTATTTCACGAAGTGGTTAAGCTGCCCAGACTGACACAGACCACCAGTCCTCCTGCCCCAGGAGTATTTCTTCCCCTTGGGTTCCTAGTAAACCAGCTGCACCAGCGATGCTCACATAAGGCTTAGAGGGAAACAGAGCGGCTAGCTACGTCGTCCTGTGTGTAGAGCTGGCTTAGGTTCCACTGACCGCAGCGGGTTTATGGTGAGTGGGGACAGAGTGCCCCAGGACCAAGGACCCTCTCTATGCTGGTCATATCAGTCCAGTTCTGGCTCCAGACAGGCAGCAGGAAGGGACAGAGTTTCCTAGGGCCACAGCAGATGTCCTGAAGCCTTGTCCCACCCGAAGACCCTCACTGTCCCCCACAGTCTGTGCTTTCCATCTGGGCCCGTGAGGCTCACGACATCCCGGTCACACTGATCTCCAAATGCATTCCTTGCTAAGCCACTTTCCAGCCCGGCCCAGCCCCTGGGGACCCCTGGGCTTCTCCTGGTCCCCTCTGCTCAGCTCCAGACTCACATGTGCTTGAGCAGGTGCTCCGTGCACTGCACCAGGACGATGCCGTCGAATGGGGAGTGTTCACACACCACGCCGCACGTGCCGTCCCGGCCTACCACGAACTGCAGCGGGCAGAGGGGCGGGCGTCAGGTCAGCTCCTGCAGCCCACTGGAGGCACCACTCCTCCGAGGACGTCAGTGACGGCATTCCCACAGGGAGCAGCATGGTAACAGCGGTCGGAGAGCCTTGGGACAGCGCAGGGGATGTGCAGTTTCCCCCGCAGTGGCCCTGTGGCCTGTGCCCTGGCCTGGCCCATCCCCTCCCCGAGCACAGCTCAGTCCTCACCCTGAAGTGCCCTCTCTGACTGTCTGATGGGCCCTGTGTGTTTATTCCCAGATGGAGAAGGGAGTCAGTGGTGGTGAGCAGACTCCGGGGAGGAGGAGCACATCCCTGGACTGGAGAGAAGCAGATGGGTGCAGGATGCCCCATGCAGGGAAGGGGGTGGATAGAGGATGTCCCGTTAGCTGCCACCAGGACCCCAGATCCTGCTTCTCCTGCACCAGGCAGCTGTGGGAGCTGGGTCCAGTCCCTCTGGCTCGATGAGCATCAGGCAGATCTCTCTTAAGACCAGCCTGGGAGGGTCCAGCTCGCCAGCGGGTGATGGAGGCTAAGTGGGTGCATGTGGGTGGCTCAGGCACTGGACAGGGTCCTTACAATTTTGCTTTATATGACTTCACAAAGGCTTCGTTTAGTTGACTCGAAAAGGAGTTATTATTGCTTGGATGATCTGAAATGTCCAACAAAGTCCTTCCACTGGGCCCCTGTGGTGCTATGGGGGAGCTGGTGGGCCAGCTGCTGGGAAGAGGTCAGATCACTGGGGGCATGGCCTTGGAGGGGACTTTGGGACTGAGTCCCTTCCTGTCTTTTTGCTGCCATGAGGTGAGCAGGCATCTCAGTATGACATCCTGTACTATCACAGCCCGAAGCAACACTAAGCCGCCATGGACTGGACCCTCAGAAGTGTGCCACCGTAAGCCTGTCCCCTAAGTAAGTCAGTTTTCCCAGCTGTGTTTCCACGGGGATGGGGCAGGCCAGGGGGGCATCAAGCCAGCAAAAAGGGTGGAGTCAGGAGACAGGAGATGCCCAGTGAAATGCACGCCACAGGGAGCAGCATCAAGCCAAGGGATGGAGGAGACAGCCCTCAAGGGAGTGCTTTCCAATAGTAAGGTCAGGATGGGGTCGCCTGCATGAGGAGAGGACAGGCAAATGGGACCAGCTGGGCTCCACTCAGCCCATCTGCATGGGTGGGTGATGTCATGAGGAGGGAAAGACGTGAGATACTTGACTTGATTTCGTCTTAGGACTGTTGTGGTGATGCAGGCTGCCCCGATGCTTGGCGATGGAGGAAGGCAGGCTGGAACTGGCCAGCCAGCAGCCGACATTCGGCAGCGCTGACCGATCTGGGATCGGACCTTGTTCTTGATAAAGGGGCTGAGGATTCCCTGTCCCCAGGTGCCCAGGTGTGACCCTGCTCAGCTGGAATGAGCCCCAGGGTGACCAGGGCTTCTCATATAGGCCACAGGATGGTGAGGGAGTTCCAGATGGCCCAGCCACCCCTGTAGAAGAGCCTTGGCCATGCAGAGGCAACCAGCATCCTACCTGGAGTCCTGCTGTTCTGGCTACCAGTCCCAGCCACCCCACCACCACCCCACCCTAGGCATAGAACAGGTGTGTAGGCCACGGGGCACGTACCTGCAGGGACTTGTCATACCACCGGTTGGCACCGTTCTGGCTGCAGCCCCCGCCATGGAGGAGCTGGAGCGCCCTGTGGGCGTCACTGAGGTCCCCGCCGCTGGGCGCATCCAAGCACACCAGGCAGATGCAGCGCTCAATCATGTCCAGCGAGTCACGGTTGGTGGAGTCTGCAGGGCAGGACAGGCAAGCTTGGGGGCCCTGGGGTCACCCGCCCTCCCCAGCGGCCACAGTTGCCTGACCACTGAGCTGCCCCAGGGCCCCTGCGGAATCCCATCCAGTCCCCATGAAGGGGTCCTGGCCCCACCTGTACCTAGCACAGTGCGTGTCCTGAGCTGGGGTTCCTGAAGATCTGAACTCAGGGCCAGGATGTGATCAGGGTTTCCCGTGAGCGCCCAAGTGGAAGCTGCTGCCTGCTGCCCTCGCCCCTGCTGTTGGTCTGGGCTAGGGCATGGTAGGCAGCACAGCGTGTCACAGCAGAGACACTGAGCTGCCACCACAGCACCCTGGGCCCCTCTCACAGGAGCCCTGGATTTAGCTTGGCATGTGGGCTACATCCCTCAGCCTCCCTCCTTAGAGCTAGGGCCACGAGGTGTCTAAATTCTGACAACATGCTCGGACACCGTCCAGAAAGCCTCCCTAAAGACCAGTGTTACTCTCTGGCTTTCCCACCACCTGGATGGCCACCTGGATGGCCGGAACCCTGGCCCCCTGTGCTTTTGCCAGGCATGAGGAAAGCGTTCCCTTCAGGTGTGGTTACTGACTCTCTAAACCTTCCTGAAGGTCTCCTCAGGCCCTGCCAGGACACGGCTGCCTGGCCACTCCCTGCCCTATGCAGGTGACTTCTCCAGGTTTGTGACCAGTGTCTACAGCTGTCCCTACCCATGTCTTCCTCCTCTGGCAGGTCCTTGGGGAGGAAGATGTAGCCCACGCAGGCCTTCTACTCTTGGGAGCCACCCTGCTCTTGGGATGCCCACTTATCTGTCTCCTTGCCATCTGGGTGAGTTTGGGGCCCTACAACCCTCTTGGTTCCTTGGGCTCCTGAACATCTCAGTCTTTGCCACCTCCACCGGGTCAGCAACTTGGCCCTGGCCATACCCTGGGGTCTGAGGACACAGGCCAGCATAGCCAGGCACCACCTGCCCTCAATAGCTTGAGCTGCCCCTGAGGTTAATGTCACCTTTAGCCCTGGCACCCAGGCTCCAGGGTCAACCTTGGCTGCCCTTGGGGTCAAGGCTCCTCGTGTCCCCACTGGCCACCTGCGCAGGCTGCCCCAGGCCAGTGCTGTGCTCTGCTGCCCATCAGATTCCTGTATCCCTAACCCTCCTCAGCTCCTGGACACTCCAGCTGGTGGGCCCTGCCCTGAGGACCAGCAACTGGAGCACGGGACTGCTCTGAAGCCTGCTCAATACAGATGGCAAGCTCTGTTCTGCCAACTGGCTGGGGCCATTGTGATAACCAGGGGGACAAGACCTTCTCTGCCCCTACTGCTGCCTGCAACACAGCAGGTGACCCTGCCACCACCCAGACGCCTGTGCCCCAGGCAGTGGCTCCTGCCCAGTGCCTGTGTCCTCTAACCCCCCTCTCATCCCCTCTCCAGGGCTGTAGGCACAGGAAGTGTCCTTCCCAGGCCTTGGTTGTATTCTCAAGCCAGAGAGGGGTCTGCAAGGATCCAGCCAGGCCATCAAGAAATACCCAGGGCCCTTGCAGGGTAGGACACCACTAACTCAGGAGGGGGGACATGGGGCAAAGTGAGACTGGACAGGTGGGTGCTCCTGTCTATGTGCTGTGCCAGGTCCCTCAGGGCTCCCTGGTATCCTCAGAGCCTAGGAGGCCTTGGCTAGGGCCAGGTTCTGATCTGAGAGAGGCCTACAGGTGGGGGATCCCAGGGCCAGAGCACAGCAGGGATTCCAGGCAGAGCTTGTGGGTGGGTACTTGGCCTCTGGTGGGTGGGTAAAGGCTGCAGCGCTTAGCCAAGGCTGGAGGAACACCATGGAATGAGGTACTCATCCACCTCTGCCAGGCGCCTGCCACGTGTAAGGGCTGGACCAATCCTGTGCATGGATGGTCAGAGACTAAATGTCTCAACATAAGCCCTTTGCAGGGTCTGGATGGGGTGGTGGGGGGTGAGAATGATTACCCAGTAACAGGGAGACTGGGTGAGAACCCAGCATGGATACCAATGCCCATCTGGGAGCAGATCATCCCTGGCCTTGAAGGTCCGTCCTGGAAAATAGTCCACCCAACAACATGGAGTCACCAAAGGGTTCTGGGCAGAGTACAGCCAGGGATGCCTGGCCACTCCCAGAGTGTGGCCTGGAGGCCAGTGGCAGGCCTGGGGAACGACGCCCACCTGGGCCCATGAACTCCAGGAGTCTGGCTCGGTGTCTGCATCCTCAAGGTTCCTGACAAGCAATGCCCATCTAGCAGAGGCTTGGCCACTCCACCCCAATCAGGCAATACCAGGCCAGCAGCAGGTGAGGACATGAGGAGCCCAGCCTCACCCAGGCGGGAGCAAGGCTCCCCAAGGATGGTCCAGGCCTCACCACTGTGCAGGCTGCATGTGCCTGGCTGCTCAGCACCACCCGACAGGAACGAGGTCCTGACTCATTACCCAGAGTGAAATGGGAATGGGACAGCAGTGCTGGGAGCCAGGTGGCCTTGCAAATGAATGCCCTGCCGCCCGTGCTGATCGGTCAAACACTGACAAGTTCATCGTGTAAGGAGAAAATGAACTACACCCCAGCTCATCCACCACCACTCCAGCCCGAAAGGAGCGGGTGCACGGCAGGAGTCGTTGGTCGCACGGCAACCTCCTGGAGCACATTGGGGCTTGCTTAATGTGGCGAATCCATCTTCCTCAAGGAGCAGGGCTTGGGAGTGAGATGTGGGAGGTGAATAATAGAGGAGCTTGCTCGGACATTCTCGCCCAGGCAGGCAGCTTCTCTGCTGGAATTCCAGGAGCCCTGGGGCACTGGCAGAGGTCAAAAGCTGACCCACTGACTCAGGTGAGCAAAGATAACCGCACACCTTGCTGCTCAGTCTTTGCAGAGCTGCACAACTCTCGGGGGCTGCTCCTGAACTGCACAGCTGTACACGAATACACGCCATCTGCACGGGAACACGCAGACACGTGCATCGCCCTCTCTCCGGCACTCGTCTCCTCTGTTACTGCCAGGCTTGTGGGCACAGCTCAGATTCCCACTGTGCTGTCTGCCCTTCTCATGGCCTGGGAGGTGGAGGCTCAGGGCTTCTGCTCTGGGGTGCAGAGGTCCTAATCCTCTGCAATCCCGTCTCAGTATCTTTCCTTCCCAGACTCGGAGCAGAAAAAATCAGCAATAAGAAATTTCAACTGAGTGCTGAAAACAATACTAAATCTCAGCAGAAAACACAAGCCTGCTTGCTCTGCCAAGACTCACGGAAAGGCAGCCTCTCAAGATGTAAGACTTTCAGGGAAGAGCCGCGCTACTTCAGCCAACTACTGGGAAAACTGAGTTTCTCATCCCCAAGCCTCCTGGCAGCAAAGACCCAGTAGGGACAGAGACTTCTTCTGTCGCTGGTCCAGAGTGGTACCACAACCTTTAGGGCAGCCTGGACAAGGAGAGTCTCACACAGAAGCTGGATGAGGGGCTAATGGTCCCTCACCCTCTACCGCACAGCCTCAACAGAAACCATGGAGAGAGTGTGGGCCCCACCGCAGTGTTGAGGGCTACAGTGGCCCAGAGCATCAACACCTTAGGTGAGGGGCCTGGATTCAGCCTTCACCTGCTGTAAAAAGGCAGCCACCACCTGCAGCATGCAGCCCCCCAGCCTACTGCAGGGGTCAAGTGACCCCCAACTCATAACACAGTAATCCCACTATGGATTGGAAACCACGTCGTACCAACAGCCAGAAAATCTCCCCATGAATCAAAGAAGAATCCATCAGCATTAATGGAGGTAACAGAAATGCTAAGATTACACAAGAAGAAAATTTTAAATCAATCAAGAAAATGCACCAATAAGATCTGAGCACTTTTGAAACAAATGACAGCACCCAGAAAGTCTCAGCAGATCGATAAAAACTCTAAGAAAAACAAAAATGTAAATAAAAACCACACAGAAAGTTTGGAAATGAAACACAGAAGCTTGGCAGACGGATTCCAAGGCAGGACTTAGTGGGCAGCGGGGAGAATCGGAGAACTTGGGGATGGCACAGCAGCACCAACCGATCTGAACAGAGCGGGCACAGACTGGAAAGAATAAGTGGGTAGCACCTGGGGGACCCACATCAAACCACAGACAAGGTGGACCCAAAGAAACCCGCGTCCCCGGCACACCACAGCCAAACTTTTGGAAACCGAAGACAAAGTAAAATCTTGAAAGCAGAGAGAAATGCCATTACCCGCAATCAGAAGGGCAGCAGACTCGTGACAGAAGCAGCGGAGGACAGAAGGAAGTGGCCTGGCATCGTCCACACTGCAGAAGGAAGCTCGGTAACCCAGAGTCCAGGAGCCTTGGGCAAGGGAGAGCGGAGGAGAATGCTCTCAGAGGGAGCAGAGCAGGGCCGGAGAGAGGGGACAGGGGCTCGGGCGGGGCAGCTGGCGGAGGCCCCAGGTTCCAGCCCCACTCAAACCTGGGCATCGTCCCCAGCAGACCTGCCCTAAGATAATGGTCACACTGATTTTTTTTTTTTCGGTACCGGGGATCAAACTCACAACTTTGCTCTTGCCAGGCAGGCGCTTATGCTGCTGAGCTAAATCCCCAGCCCCAAACTGGATTTCTTAGAAAGAAAGGTGAACCATGAAAGGTTACTCTGCACATTGAGAACGCAAGAGGAAAAGAAGAGAGGAAAATCGGAGGGAATAATGTTATTTTCAATTTTCTCTTGAGTTTTCTAACTTACGTTTTGGTGCCAAAGTAAAAATTAGAATAATGTCTTGTCTGCTTCTACGTGTATAGGAAGGAATTATTTAAGAATTAGAGAAAAAGGGATGTAAATAGTGGGAAGCTTTTAATATTTCATGGAAGAGCTGGCAAAATGTTAGTGCCAATAGACTGTTAAGTCTTGTACATATAAGATAACACAGGAACTGCTAGAAAAAAACTATACACATAACACCCAAAATACTGTGGAAGGGTAGAATTATGAAAAATATTCCACAGGAATAACCACAGGAATAAACCACAG